AGGAATAGTTTGTTACTTCACAAGCTCACTGTCCCTTGACATTATTTTGTGAGGCTAGTTTATCCTTCAGGGAAATTATGCAAATGAATATATTTTTATAAGAAAGGGAGCATCTGTGCAAATACAAACCTTTGAATTTTAGCCTGGGACTTTTACTGTGTTTTTAAGACCCAGAAAAGCTTAGAGATAGACCTAACAACCTTATCTTGCCATTTAGTTTAGGATAGACATGTTTCCATAGCTACCTTTGGGTTAATGAAAATTCCAAATTATTTGTTCGTGTACTCATTCAAGTGGTCTTTAGGACCTATTGTGTGCCTGGCATTATGCTAAGCCCTGGTGATACCTGATGGGTAAGACAAAGTTCATACCTTCAAGAAGCTTGAAGACAATAAAACAGGTACTTTCTATGTTATGTAGATCTGAGTTCCTGACCTATATAATTTTTTCCCTCCCTTTGAACATCTTTTAACATTTCTTCCATAATAGGTCTGCTGCTGATGAATTCCCTCAGTTTTTATTTGTCTGAAAAACTTTTATTTCTCCTTCACTTTTGAAAGACAGTTTCATTGGATATAGAATTCCAGGTTGGTGGCTTTTTTTTCTTTCGGTATAGTATATATTTTACTCCACTCTCTTTTTACATGGCTGGTTTCTTTCTTTTTTTTTTTTGGTGAAAAAATTTATATTTAGATTTAGCCAGCTGGACTCAGTTTTAGATGATTCCAATTTTGTTGGCAACATCAAAAACATCATAGTCAGGAGCCAGTTGAACATATGCCTTCTTCTCTCCATCAGGCCTGATCAAGGTGTTGACCTTGGCCACGTCAATGTCATAGAGCTTCTTCACAGCCTGTTTGATCTGGTGCTTATTGGCCTTGACATCCACAATGAACACAAGTGTGTTGTTGTCTTCTATTTTCTTCATGGCTGACTGAGTAGTCAGGGGGAACTTGATGATGGCATAGTGATCAAGCTTGTTTCTCCTGGGGACGCTCTTTCGAGGATATTTGGGCTGTCTCCGCAGACGCAGTGTCTTGGGTCGTTGGAATGTAGGTGACGTGCAGATCTTCTTTATTTTTGTGACTGTGGACGCCTTACAGCACCGCTTTCTTGGCCTTCAAAGCCTTTGCTTTGGCTTCAGCTTTGGGAGGGGCAGGGGCTTCCTTCTTAGCCTTCGGCGCCATCTTCGTAAAAGCTACACGGCTGGTTTCTGACGAGATGCCTGGTGTAATCCACATCTATGTTACTCTACAGGTCAATTTTCTCTTTCTTTTCTGAGTTTGAATAGGATATCTTTAATAATTTTTGGTATTTATCTGGTATGGTGTGCTCTAGATTGACAGATTTACTCTGAAGGGTGGGTAAACACCCACGTGATGCACAATATAAATATGAATCTTATGACACAAAGCTTCCTCTCTTATATGTGTCATTGCAATACCACAGGAAACTGTACTAACAGTGACTTAAAGGGGTTTATTTTTCTCACTTAACAAGTTGGGCAGAGATCAGTAGTTGCTGGCACTGGTGTAGCTGATCAGTGATGCCAGTAATACGCTTGAGTCTTTTTACGTTTCCTCCTCCTTTTTGTTACCTCTTCATTACAAAATAGCTGCTACAGCTCTAAACATCCATATTCAGTCCTGCAAAGTTAGCTGTGTACATTGCCATAGAGCTTCTCTTAGCAAGAAAGAAGGTACTGTATGCTATGCCACATCTTCTGTTTCTTCTGGTCATTGTATTCTACACAAGATATTTACTGATTCTCTACCACTGAATAATTTTTATTTCATTTATAAATGGAGCATTAGAAAAGTATGCACCGTGTTTTACAACATGATAAAGAAATGGAGACATTCTTAGAAATGGTTTTCTGGAGGAGCTTCAGGAAAGCCAGTAACCTCTTGAGTAAACTTATTTGGAATCATTTACTGAAGTACTAGTAATTTTAGAGACATATATGCAGAACATTTATATTTTTAATTTTAAGGAGATCTTACAGATCAGTAATAAAAACTTTGCCCAAATCAAGCTGAGTTTCATGCTTTTTCCTATCAAATTGTTTGTATGAACATGGTACCCAGTCCTTTTGAGATGCTCCTGTGCGACTGGCAAGAGTATAAATTGGTACAAATGTCTTAAAGGCTTTTAAAAAGCATAAAGAACCTTAAAATGGTAATACCTTCTACTCCAAAATTTATCTCTAAGGAAACTTTCCTAATGAAAAAATTAGAATTGTGGACCAACTTGGTCCGTATGAAATGATAGAGTGTTCCAGCAGTATTTATATTTTTAAAATATTGGAAATGTTGACTTATGAGAAGAATTAAATTAGGTGTGATCTCTCTATAGCTTGTTAAACATCATTCCCATTTTGTAACATATAGAAGTATTTATGTGCTTAAATATGTCAAATATTAAACTAGGTGTTTGTGGATGATGGAGTCACAAGCCATTTTTTTTCTCCTTACTCTTTTTTTGGCATTTTCCAATTCTCCTATAATGAATATTATTTCTACAATTATAAAAAATTAATTTTTTTAAAAAGACAAAATAAATATGTATGTTTGCTGAGTTCCTTTTTAGAAAGAAAGAATGGGTGAAAAAGTGCCTTGATCCAAGAATTTGGGCGGGCTGTACATTACTTGAAAAGAACATTTTACTGATAGTGAAGTGGTACCGAGCATTCTGTTCCTCTGGAGCCCTGGCATTTCTCAGTTCTCCACGAAGGGAGTGTATAAGGAAGTTGTAACAATAGTTCATTCTTCTGTATTCATGTAAATCACATCATTTTATTTTTCTCTTCCTAAGAGGGCTTTCTGTTTTTCTTTTCTGTGATGTGTATAGGACTGAGGTCACTTAGGGCAGTAACTAAATTCAGAAGGGGAAGGGAACCACTTTAAGGAAACAGTTTGTCTTAATTTATCCAGATAACCAAAGTTAACTCATGTAAACTGAGATCATTATCTCAACAATTACCCCTTCTGCTCAGTCAGTGTGTACAGAAAATGGGGCCCCCGTATGTTTGAACAGGGAACTAATGGTCTCTCTTCCAAAGTTGATTAGTAAACCGGTGGATATGTATAAACCCTCACTACCTTCCCCTATGTGTGAGGGGAGGGGAGAAGAGGGAGAAGGAGCTGTTTCTCCTGCTGTCTGCCCTTCCTTTGGGGTATCCATGGCACAGCCTGTGAGGGGTTCAGATCTACTAGTTTGTCATTTGCTGGTTGGAAACCCTTGGAATAAAGTCATATACTTTTAGGCCTGGAAGAGTTTTATGAATTCAGTTTCAATGTCATCTTCCATTTCTTACCAGGTACTTTAACATACTTACGAAGATTCCTAAACTAGGATGTGTTTTTCCCTGGGTTATGCTTCCTGAGCCAGGAAACCCTTGCTGCCTCAAGATCTCTGGAAAGCTTCACCATGTTTACCTCTCGACCTAACGTAACTCCTTGGCATTGGTTTTAAGAGTATCGCTTTATTCAAGTTCGGTTAGCCAATAACGTTTCTTTAGCGCATGGAAGAACACGTCATTCTAAAATCGTTTTTGTTTGTTTGCTTTTGCATGGAAATTAATCTAAAAACCTTTGGTTTAATCTTAAGGATAGAGCCTTTAGGCAAGGGGAGGGTCAGGAATTGTTAGCTGCCATTGGACAGAAAGTGAAATGTATAGCATGGCCCGCTCTAGCCCCGAACTCTCACAAAGGAGGATATGGCCTCACCTGAAAAAAAAAAACAAAAAACGGGAACTCTCTACTTTATTTATTTATTTAGACTATGTTCTATACAACAACAACAACAACAACAACAAAAGAACTCTCTTATACTTTCGCATCTAGAAATGGTCTTTTTTCTGAATAAAGGGGACTAATGTGATTTGACACTGCTGTTTCTTTCTTTTATTTACTGGTTCTTAAGTTAAAGGAAGAAGTTGTTGAAAAATTCTGTCTTGGAATTGATAAAAACAATGTGCTGGGTTTCATTATGCCCTGTGGATGTCTAAAATAGTAACCTGTCCCCAGATTGCTAGCTGCCTATATGATACTCCCACTGGGATTTGTAATAAGCATCTGAAATTCAAAAGTAGAACTCTTGGTTTCCCCAGGGCATGGAGCTCCCATTTACCTGGTTGTTCAAGCAGAGGTTCTAAGACACAGTTCTTCGCTTTCTCTTTACCCACAGGTAGTCTGCCAGCACTTCCTGCTGACACTACTTCTAAATATATCCCTAAATCACTGGGCTTCTCTCCATCACTGTCATCACCTCCTTGTTCAGATCCCCATCATCTCTTATCTGCACCCATTGCACTGGTTTTCAAATCCATCTCTTTGCTCCCTTATGATCTACTTTCTACCAAGCAGCAAGAATCATCTTTTTATTTATTATTCCCCCCATTTAAAGTAACTCATTGGTTTTCCTTAGTAGTTAGAACAAAATCCTTATCCCTTACCCTGGTTTACAAAGCCCTTTGGAGTCTGGCCCCCACTAACTCTGAGACCTCAGCTCCTACCACTCTCCCCCATCCACAGTTCTCTGGATGCTGTGCCTTTCTCTTATTTCGGCATGCCAGTCCATCAACCAGAGGCCCTTCTCCCTACCAGGAATGAGTTTTACTTATCTTCCCATGACTGGCTTCTTCTATATTTAGAATAAGATGTTCTCATAAAGGTTATCTCTCATAGAGGCCTTTCCTGACCACCTAATTATATAGGAAACCCCACCAAACCAGGCACCACTAAATTTATAACTTTCCTTATAACCTGTTCAGATTACCTAGATAGCATTTATAGCCACTACCACCACCAATGTCTACAAGCAAATATAAGACTCACTAGAGCAGGGGCCTCATCTGCTTTTTCATCATTGTGTCACCAAGACCACAGAGGATGTAATCGGTAGTGGTGTTGCATGAACAGTTTTTCATATGCCGTGTAATCCAGTTGTCTCTTGATTTGGGAATCAAGAGATTGTTTCTGCCTCTTCTGTTTTCATAGCAGACTGGACTTTATGAGTATAAAGTGTTTGGTGTTCTGGACAATTGCCCACCGGCTGTACTCGCAGATGTCTATATGGACTTAGACTACAGAAAACAGTGGGACCAGTTTGTTAAAGGTGAGTGACACCTATTATTTTTTTAAAAGTCATCTAGAAAGTAGAATCTATTGTTATTCTAGCCAGTAGAAAGCAACAGGTTTAATTTCTACTGTGTTTTATTTTTAATTTTGGCAAGACAGTCTTAAGTGCTAGGCTGAAACATGCTTTTGTGATTCCTTGCATACTCTCAGATGCCACTCTCCAGTTTGCTCCAAGGCCTACTTTGTTCTCACTATAAGTTTGTCATCATCCCATATATCTAGGTAGTCACAGAAGGCTTCTTGGAGGAGGTGGTATCCAAGCTTTGTTTTGGAAGTTGAATCAAAGTTTTATAAACAACAGGAATGCAACAAACAAACAAACAAATAACAAAAAACCAAAAAACAAGAATGCATATAGGTGAGAAGCTGAGAGGGTGAGGGGGTGAGTGGTTTAAGGCTATTTGAGGCCCAGGGAACAGCCTGAGTAAAACGAGGGAGGCAAGAAACAGATGGCATGTTCAAAAACTGAGCAATTTGGTTTTACTGGGCTGTTGGGGTAGCAGAATCTAGAGCTAGGGTGGGAGGAAGGTCCAGATCCCCAGGGGCCCAGTCTGGCCACCAGGCTACAGTGCTTAGATTTGACACTGAAAGCAATGGACAGCTATGAAAGGCATGAAAGAGGTGATCCTCCTGTCACTTAGAGCTGGGAGTGGCCTTTGTCATTTAGTCACAGTGGACTAGAACTGCAGAGCGAGCCCAGGGGCGTGTCAGCTCTGAAAGACTCTTGCTAGAGTCAGGACCCTTGGTTGCAAGCAACAAGAAATTAACAAACACCAGTGTGAGAAAAGGAAAGGGTTTATTGGTTCATGCCATTGAAAAGTCCAGGGGTTTCTGACTCCCAGGACACTGCATCCAATGTTTAAATGTTTTCTCCATCTGGACTCCGTTTTCTCCTGAGTTGACCTAATTCTCAGGCAGATTCTTATGTCATGGCAAAGATGACCCCCAGACGATCCAGGCTTATAGTCTCACCGTATAAATAACCCACAGGAACAGGAATGAGCATTCCACTTTCCTACTCATGGCAGCCAGCGTCCCACAATTTGCTGCCATGGCATCCTGTGGATGTTTGTCATGGTTTTGGTCTCTTAGTGTTTTCAAATGCCCTTCCTATCTAGGGTGAATTGTGATGCTCCTCCATTCAAGGGAGAAGCCAGATGTTCTCTGTCCCAGTCTCCTTAGCAGCCATGGTTCAGTGGTGTAATACAGATGTTGCCAATAAGACAACGTGCAGCTTCAATTTGAGAGAGAACAACAGGAGCAAGCAGGCAGCATCACAATCAATTTTTTGGTGATGGTAGGGCTAAGGTATCTGTCGTTGGGAGAGACCACTCTAGAGCCTCTGATGTTTGGTACTTGGCATCAGCCATTCATGCTATCGTGTCTAGTCTAGTCACAGCAGTAGTTTGCCTTCTCTGGAATAATCCTGAAGTTCTAAGCCTAACTCTGGTCCTTCTAGATATTTGTGAGTTACCTGAGAGTCTTTACTGAACCACTTTTTGGCCCAAACTTGTTAGAGTGACAAGGTAAGACCCTGGCCAGATGCACCATCCCTGAACAAATCACTGGGCCATGTCTTGTTCATTTTCCCAGCCAGAAATTAATGCTGAGTTTAATTTAAGGACTCTGCTTAAACCACATAGTCAGGAGGAGGGAAACGATGATGCCCTGAAGGAGAATTGAAATTGCTGGTCCAGGAAGGGGGAGGTGATGCTGAGCATGCAAAGGCAACATGTCCACTTCTTCCCTTCCTCTCAAGGGCTGTCTTTAGCCTCTCGTGCCACCAATGCCCTGGCAAGCTCTTTAATCCATGACCTTGCTTCTTATAGATTTTCTTTCCAAAGCTGAATTAAATAATGCATTTCCTTCATCAGGAGCTCCTCAAGGGGTTCTCATGGTTATTTCAGCAGCCTTGGCTTGGCTCCTTCTCTAAATGGTTGGTTTGAAGCTTACTGCACAGCTTGGGGTCAGAGGGTGTGTATGTCATTGAATTCCTTTGCTTTCTCCAGCTGAGAGTCAGCTGCTATTTGCACACAGTAGAATGATGGAATACTAAGAATTCTGGTCTTGTAGCTATGGTAGAATGTAAAGAAACAGGAGAGAAGGAAGACATTCAGGGTTAGCCACAGTTAATGCCACTTCCTAGCTGTTTAGGAAGGACACTGCCCTCTCTGGAACCTTCTTTTCCCAGCTGAACACACTGGACTGGGTGACTCAGACCCAGGCTAGCTGTAAAAGGTGAAGAAATCTAAAGAGAGGTCTCAAAAGCAAAACTATTGGGATTCTAGTGACATCTGGTGGTTGCCCTGATTTTAAAACCTGAACATCTATTTTTGGATGCCTGATTTTGTTTTATTGCATTCTGAGAATCTTGCTTGTGCTATACAATGGACACATTTTGTTGAGTTATTTTCTTTTTTACCGTGTTTTTTTGTCTACTAGACTCTGCCCTTGGGCAACAAGCTTTCAGCATTAATGAATCTGTCTGATTTTTTCTAGAATTCTGTGCCTTCTTAGTGGTTTATCATATCCTCAGAGGTCATCATACCTAGGCTTCTTGTTAATTGGAGCCGAGAAGTTTCCAGATACATTAACTTCTTTTGTTTGCCTTAGAACTCTATGAAAAGGAATGCAATGGAAAAACCGTGGTCTACTGGCAAGTGAAGTACCCCTTTCCGATGTCCAACAGAGACGTATCCTTCCTACTTGGCTTTCTAAATGTTTCTTGTGCCCTTTGGCCATTGCCCAATGGTGGCATGCCCAGCAGGTGTAGACAGCATTGTTCTTGATTCTTAAAAAGCATCTGCTAAAACTGTTGCTTCTTGTGTGACTTTTGGAGACCTCAGTGTGTGATGTCTGGGCCTGACCATGTGGAGCCTCTGTGATTGTGGTCACTGGAGGGCAGCTTAGACTTTCCTGAGAAGTTTTCTAAGGCTTGAAATTGTTGGACCACAGAATTGGGGACCTGGAAAGAACTATTTATAAAGAGTGTTTAATACATTCCCTTGGGGCGCCTGGGTGGCTCAGCGTTTAGCATCTGCCTTCAGCTCAGGTCATGATCCCAGGGTCCTGGAATAGAGCCCTGCATCGGGCTCCCTGCTCAGCAGGAAACCTGCTTCTCCCTCTCCCACTCCCTCTGCTCGTGTTCCTGCTCTCGCTCTCTGTCAAATTAATAAATACAGTCTTTAAAAAACAAAAATACATTCCCTCAATCTAGAGTTGGAAGGCACCCAGAGAGGTAAAGTGACAGAGGCATACGTACAGATGATTAGTGGCAGAGTGAGGACTGGACCCCAGGCCCCCACTTTCCACGTCTCCTCATCTCACCTCCTGTTTTATTGACCCCACAGTGATCCCTACTTGACTGTTGGCTCTGGATACTGGGTGTATGTTTCTTACCCTCATTTATCGTTAAAACAGTTGAATGGAATGTGGGGAGTTTTAGTTGACACTCCAAGGTTCTAAGAAGCCCTCTTAGTTCTAGCCTAGGAAGGGGGATGGAAATTTGAAGGACAGGCAGGGTGGGGGCAGGATCGGTGAGATTTCCACTCCTTCACTGTCCTCTTCAATCACAGCAGCTGAGTATGTTACACACTGAATTTCCATAGAAGATCCTGTCAACAAAGGATCTTGTGGATTCAAAAAAAAAGAGTTTGGAAACCACCAAACTGGATGATCACTGGGATCTTTTCTAGCTTTAGCTTTGTATAAGTCTGTATTTCCTAAATAATTATTCTCTTGAAAGAGAAGGAGCATGTGGCTGTGTTTTATGTATATTGTTTGTGTTTTTGTGTCTAAGTGTATGTGTTTTCTTTGGCCCCAATTAGATTATAAACTCCATAAAGGGTTTATTTCTTGCTTACATACTGCTAGGTACTTTGTACGACATATGGTATGTATTTCAACGAATTGTGGATTACTCTAACCCTTAGATTTTATGTGGTTTTCCCTGATCCTGCCAACAACTGTGCAAAGTATCATCATCCTCATTTCATAGTCAAGGAAACTGAGGCAAAGAGAAGTCCAGAACTTTGCTCTGGTTCACACAACTAGTGGGTGGCAGAGGCAGGTTTGGGACCCATGTCCAGCTATTCCCAGAGATGGTGACCTTGACCAGGGCATGATCCCATCTCTCTGACCTCACTGTGACACTGCTGGTTAGGTCTTAGGGGTAGACACTTGGGCCTACTTTAAGTTCTATATAATTGTTTTTCCAATACCACACAATCCGATAATGAGTTTCTTAATCTTTCTATATGCATGTCTCTCCACTGGTGGTTAAATTTTTGAGAACAGAGAATAGGGTAGTGGAAAAGAACATTCGTTTGGAGCCGAAGATCCCAGATGGAATGTGAGCTCATTCTCTGATTTGTTGTGTGACTTTGGAAAAGTCCCTTCACTTCTCTGGGCCTCAGTGAACTGGTGGTTCTCTGGTCATAGGCCCTATGGTAGGCTGAACCTTCCAAACTTTTGAAGACCTCTGCCAAGTTTTAATCAATATATCAGGTTGGTTTTTCCTTAATGGGAGTGTCAGGTGGTATCTGTCACATGAGATGAGCAAGTTTTGGGACAGAGTGGGACAATTTTTGCTGTGAGGAAAAAGTGAAAGGTCTTGGTGGCAGAAAGCCAGAGCCAAAGCAACATCATTTCTCCCCCAAAACATTTAAGAACTTTACTTGCCAGTCCATAGAGTCGGGAGCAGTAGCGCATCCTGCAGGGTGCCTGAGTGAGGGCTGGGACCCCTTTGGGTGCTGCAGAGACTCTGTGGTGGCATGGGGCTATCATTGTTGCTGTTACAGTGAGTATATTATGTTACAGAGTGATTTTTAAAAATTTATTTATTTTTATTTTTTATTGTTTAGGCTTTGAATTCCTTCTAGTGTGAAACCTAAAATTCTGTTGAGGCCCGTCCAGCTATGAAAGTTGAACTAGGTTTTGGAGCCAGATCTGGGTTTGCACTCCGGTTCCAGTTGAGCCATGGGATCTTTGGCAAGTTACTTTACTTCTCTGAGCCTCAATATTGTCATCTGTAGGATGAGGATACTTACACCAAACTCACAGGGACCTTTTCAGGATCAAAACTGATGCTATATGTAAGGCACATAGTAAGGGCTCAGTAAATGGTAACTCTCATTGTTTCTTAGGAGTAAATTATCTTCCCTATTACAGTACCATAGACATAGTGAGTGCTCTGTGTTTATAGAGATGAAATGGCTTTGTTATCCTGGGTGGTTAACCAGTGTTAACCCAGAGAGGACATCTGCCTACTAAATATTCAGGTACCAATGTTTCTTCCTCTGACCACTAGGTGTAAGTAACATTGCTTGACCATCCTCTGTGCATAGAGGTCACTAACTAGAGCTTTGGGGGAGGACAGGACAAAGGGTAATGATCCCAGTGTTTATGGAGTATTTATTCTGCCCCAGTCTTTCTCCAGTGCCCCCACCAGGCGTGCCTGCTGGGGAATCTAACCCCCTTAGCTTCGGAAAGGTTGAGTAACTAATGCAGAATCACACTGCTGCTGAGTGATCAGTCCTCTAATATCTCACAGTGCCTTCTTAGAGAAAGGACGAGTGGTTTCCCCGTATAATTGAAAGCATCAAGGAATCATTCACAGGTAGGTAATGCATGCTGTCAAATGAGAATATCAACTTGTATGGGGTACAACCTTGCAGTGCAGGTAGGGAGACAGGGCAGGGAAGTAAAGGAACAGTATTTGGGAGCAAGTGCCAGGTGGGAGGAATAGAATCATCTCGCTTTGCTTCTGGCTTGTGGGGTTTCCTTCCACCCATCTGAAATGCTGGCATTGGCATCATGCCTTGACTAGCAGTATAGTATGTCTACATCCGACAGCGGCGAGACCTGGACATGGACGGGCAGAAGATCCACGTGGTCCTGGCCCAGAGCACTTCTGCGCCACAGATTCCTGAGAGGTCTGATGTGGTCCGGGTGAATCAGTATAAGCAGAGCCTAGCGATCGAGAGTGATGGCAAGAAGGGGAGCAAAGGTAAAGCCGGGGAACATGTTGGCAAAGCAGCTGGGGCCACTATACGTAGGCCATGCTGATTGTTAGGCATGTAAAATGCGTGATGCTTTTTCCCTGAGGTCAGAGAATGGGCACGGGTGTAAAACAAACAAGGGATCAAAACCTGGGGAGAGATTCAGTTCACCCCCAGAAACCTGGCTTGAGTGCATGGTGGATGGTTAAATCTGACTCAACCCATTCTTTTTTTTTTTTTTTTTAAAGATTGTATTTATTTATTTGACCGAGAAAGACAGAGAGAGAGGGAACGCAAGAGGGGCAGTGGGAGAGGGAGAAGCAGGCTTCCCACTGAGCAGGGAGCCCGATGTGGGGCTCGATCCCAGGACCCTGGGATCATGACCTGAGCCGAAGGCAGACGCCCAACGACTGAGCCACCCAGGCGCCCCTCAACCCATTCTTTATTGACTCTTGCATTGTCCCCAGGAAATCAAACCAGAAAGTTTAAAAATTCACTTCAGGCTAGTCCTAGGGATACATACATTGTGCCTGGGGGTGGGGTAGGGCAAGAGGGCTGGCACGACTATCCCTGAGGACGCAGCTCCTGCTCAGCCGACTTAGGACCTGCCTGCCTTGAGTTCCAGCCTGCACAGAGAAAAGCTATGAGCAGAATGGGGGCAGCCAGCCACTTGTTGTATGGGAATCAGTGTGGCCTTATGTGTGAGGTAACCTCTGAACCATAATTCTGAAGCTTTTCAGATCTGTCACCTTGGACATGCCACCCTAATTGCTCTGAGTCTCCATGTTGTCCTTTATAAGTGGGGGTTTAATTTTACCAACTCCTTTGGACTGATAATGAATGACAGAAATAATTTTTTTTTAAAGATTTATTTATTTGACAGAGACACAGTGAGAGAGGGAACACAAGCAGGGGGAATGGGAGAGGGAGAAGCAGGCTCCCCACTGAGCAGGGAGCCCGATGCGGGGCTCTATCCCAGGACCCCGGGATCGTGACCTGAGCCGAAGGCAGAATATTAAGGACTCAGCCACCCAGGCGCCCCGATAGAAATAATTAGATGAGAGACTATATCCAAGTGTCTAGCACTTGCCAGGCATTTAATCAGTAGCAGCAAAATCTGCCTATGGCTTTGTTTTTAAAAATATGTGTGTGTGTCTGTGTGTCTAACATAAATATATATATTATAATATAAATATATATGCATTTATTCTGTGAGGCAAGGCAGAGGACAGAAGTCCTCCTGAATCCGTGTTGCCTCCCTCCTTACTTTCGGGGGCCTGAAGATAGAGGGGGAAGCTTTGCAGGGTTTGTTGTATTTCTAACATTTTTTTTCTCTTCCTGAATTGTCCTTTCTTTCCCTTCTAGTTTTCATGTATTACTTCGATAACCCGGGTGGCCAGATTCCATCCTGGCTGATAAACTGGGTCGCCAAGGTGAGATCCCAGGAGGCAGGAGGGGGAAGTGTGTTTGACAAATGTTGACTTAGCCCACGGGGCTGTCAGGCTGAAGAGACACCGTGTCTCAGGCCTAATGAGGCTCTTTTATTGAAGCAGCTTGGTTGAGTGACTACAGTTAGGACTGAGGTTGCCAACATCCAGGATGTAGAGGCTGGGACAAAGGAGAAGAATCCTTAGCTGGAATGTTAGACCCTCCCTGCTAGCAAGACCCTGCCAGGATCACTCTCTGCATCCTCCAGATAAAAGCCTGCTCCTTGTAGGAAAAATGAAAAATGGTGCCTTTGGACCTTGTGTCTGCTTATGACAGGCCAACCTGGCTCGAGAGACGTGTCCAAGCCTGGAAGCCTCCAGTTTTGTTATTGTTATTTTGTTTCTCTGTAAGGAGAGGGGACTGCAGTGGTGGCCAGATCACTAGAGACCCCCAGAGAACCTGGCTTTATGGGAACCATTCAGTGCTTTGTAGGAGGGCTACTTACCGGTGGGAGGTCAGCCCATTCCCTGGGAGAGTGCAAAGCGCACAGGCTTTGAGTCAAACACATGTGGTTTTGAGTCCTGGTCCAGCTTTTGTTTGTATAATCTAGGGAAGCTGTTGATTTCTTCCCTTTCGAAAATGGGGACAGGTATTACCACCCTGTAGAGTAGTGGTAAATTAAGGTGGTGTCTTACACAATGCTCAGCACTAACTAATAACATAGTCTGCCCTTTGCCCCCCACCCTCACCGTTTCCTAATTCTGTAAAAGAAGTCCTTTCTCTGATTCCTGGGTTAGAATCCCATAGCCCAACCCAATCCCATTTCCTGTGTTTTTCCTTTTCAAAAAATGGTGTCTCAGGATCATCTTAGCTTTTTACTAGGTAAAGCCAAGATACACAACAGTGTCCCCTGCTATCTAGTCTCACCTTTGCCTTGGGTCTTCTGTCATGATCTGTGGCCATGTTCTATAGAAATCGGACAGGGGCCCTATTGTCATATTTGTTATTCTCAGAGTCATGTTTGTTTACCTTTGCCATATCTCAAAGAATCAGGAGAAATGACCATAAGGACACAGAAGTGATAGTGTCCTTTGTTTTGCAGAATGGCGTTCCTAACTTCTTGAAGGACATGGCAAAAGCCTGTCAGAACTACCTCAAGAAAACCTAAGAGGGGGGATCGTGTGTCCATGGAATGATGATCTGGAAGTGCCACGGCCCGCTGATGCTCAGCTTTCCTTTCACTTTTCCATCTTCAGAGGCCTGCAAGCTATCCAGCATGTCGTCCCTGAGTGTGTTTGCCTGATGCCTGGCTTCCTTTCCCACTCCCCACCCTGGGACTGGCTGCCTTCTCCCACTATTGAATATGGATCAGATTAGGGAAACTTGTGCTTGTTTATCTTTAAAAAGGGAAGTCCTCAATAGAGAACACAGTCATTCCATTGTGCCATTTTAGGGGGATGGGTGGGTGAGGAACCACAACAATCCAAGAGCAACCGATCCCAGAGAGCTGGCTCCTTCCCAGAATGTGGCTTCTCGCAACCCAGGAGGGGCTGCTGGGAGCCCCATCCCCTTCAGAGTGGACTCTCCATGCACCAGTACTGGAAGACATGGGCTGATGGCCATTTCCCTTATGCTTTGGTGTACTGCCTTGGCTGGGGTTTGAGGTGATAATCCAGTGACTCTCTCTGCCATTCCTACTTGTGTAGGATCATGAGCTGTTTTGATTTCAAAGCATTCTGAAAAACACTGGAGGCCTAAGCACTTAATGTGATAACCATTTCTTCTCATCATCCATGTCTGGGTTTCTCTTTCCCACATGCCACTGGGGAGAGGCTGCTCATACCTCACTAACTCTGCACTTTACTGGAAATGAGGCATCATGATGGCTCTGGCAGTTAGCAAAAGTCAAGATGCTCTGCACACAGCCCTGTGATAAAGTGTCTTTCTAGGCAATAAAATGTATTTCCCTTCTAGAATGTTTAGCGACATTGAACGGATAATAGTTCACAGTCAGGAAAATATTAATTAGTGGATTAGTTGACTCTACACCTTTTTCTCAGGAATTCTACCTAAGTTGCCTGCCTCGTCTCCTACCAAAAGACTTCCAGTTTTCGGTTTTCTCCTGAATTTTGGTAAGGCAAAATATTCTGTGGCTAAAAACACAGCCTTCATGATCTCAGGGAAAAATTTTAACCACTGTGTGTGATAGTACTGAACCTTGATTAGAGGTCGTAGAAATTCAGGATGTAAATCCAGAAGCAGAGGATTTATTAAAATGGGCCATGTCGGACTGTATATCTTCTCTTGGGGAAAAACAGACTGAATACCAATAAATACAGAATGACTTAAATTGTCCTGCTTGCAGCTTTCTTTCTACCTTGATCCTTCTGTGAGATGGAATCAGTAAGGTCTCATTTGTTTGCAAGGCACATCTAACCTTAACTAATGAACTTGAACATAAAAAAGAATTTTAGGTGCACTTGCATGCAAGACCAGCTGTAGAGCGGCCTCACGTTCCGGTTGATACAGGTACTCAAACTGACGTTAGAATTTGGCTACGTTTGTCTTCAGGTTATCTTTGATGTTGGGCTGCGTCTGGTGGCAGGACTGCTGCTGACAGCAAAAGGTAGGCCTCATCTTCCCAGGCTCATGCTGAGCCAAAGAAAGACAGAATTTCTTTCCGGTAGATCCCACACCATCCTATGACTTTCTCTCAACCATGTGCCTGTCCCTTCCCCAGTCATTGCGGTCATATAGATAGATTTATGCAAATAACTGACTACCTCATACATTTACCATTTTAAAAAATATCACTATCAGTAATGTAGCTGGCATTTAATTTTAGATAAATGAAATCTAAATCTCTCTTGTAATAGAGGGTCAGGTTGAAATTTTAAGTATAGAGTCACTGAAACACAAATACTACAATTATAGTTTTTGAGCAGAGAATCAACATGAATTGGTGTCATGCAACCCGTATCTTTAAACAGTGTTTGAGAATTTGCTAAGAACTCCCGAGAACACTACGAATATGGCATGTCTAAGTAAAGTAGTTACAAAAAAAGAAAGTTTGCAATAATTAGTAGAGTTTTGAATCTTTGGCATTTATGTGTGCTAATTTGGAGAAGACAGTTTACACAGCACTGAAATATGAGGTTATGGGGGAAACGGAGAACCCATGAGGTGGTATTAAGTAAATGCCAGAGGTGCAGAAAATGTAGGACAAACACTTCAGAGGTCGTACCTGATTCTTTAGGGTATGCCTCTCCACAAGGGCTGGGTGTATCCTTTGGAATTTGAAAGTAAATGTTGTTCACTTATTTTTTCTATGCCTTTCTCTCCAAATAGACAATAAGCTCTCTGTGGGTAGAAAGAGTTATTTCACTTTGATTACTGCCCCCTAGGGGACTGTATAGTAGGCAAATGAGTGACTAAATGATTTAGAGAAGATGGACCAAATGACACACACCCAGAAGGCCAAACCCATCCAGATATGGAGGTTTAATTTGATTAAATTAAACCACCATTACTATTACTTAATAATTTAATTCAGGTCCAATTATTTCCCCAACTCATCATTTTTTGGGAGAGGGGGGTTCTAGATTTCTAAGGTTCTCACTGGTCCTTTGTTAAGAGGTGGCTTTGCTGGTGTAGTTACAGATTATTTTTAATGTTAATAGAAATGGCATAGTCTGGACTGAGTCCAGTTGAGATTAATCAGGATTTCAGGATTTTAAAAAATCTTTATTATATTAATTAATTAATTAATTAAATTAATTAATTTAATTTTGAGAGAGAGGGCACCTGAGAGAGGGGAGGGGCAGATAAAGAAGGAGAGAGAGAATCTTAAGCAGGCTCTACACCCAGTAATGAGCCTGATGCGGGGCTCTATCTTATGACCCTGAGTTGATGATCTGAGCCTAAATCAACAGTCAGTGGAAATCAACAGTAAGCAACTGAGCCACGTAGGCACCCCAGGATTTCAGGAGTTTAATGCAAAAAGCAGAACTACTGTTGGAGCTAAATTTTTTCCACAGGTGAATTATTCACACTGCAAAACAATTAAGTTATTAACCACACTGAAATTGAGGGGCTCCAGCAAAAGGTCTGTTCCCTTGAAAATGTTCCTATTTCACAGTGAGAGTCCTCAGCCAGAGTCCCCATCTACAATGCTGTCCTTCAAACCTCCTACTTCCCAGCTGGATTTGGGAGAGACAAAGCAGAAAGAACCCATTCAGTTCTCATGTTTCTGGTAGCACCACCCAGTCAGCTCAGAGAATTATCCTTAGAAGCATTGAGACATGCTTTCACCTAACAAATAATATCATGAGTCTGGTGTCCACCTGGCAAGGGGACAGACATGGCAGTTCCTGTGATGAATGAGGCAGATTTGGTGTCCACCCTCAAGGAGCTTATGGTCTAGTGAAGAAACTGGGCAGGCTGTTGAAAGACTGGTGAGCTTTGACAAAGGGCAAGTAAAGGGTGCCAGATGTTGTAAAACTGGGGGCACTAACCGAGTTTGAGGGGTCAGGGAGGAACATGTTGTAGTTGGCTACATGAAGGTTGGAGAGAAAACTTCTGCACGGAAGGAACCATTGGCATAAAGCTCCTCCAGCAGGAGAGCCAGTTACATGTGAGGAACTACCAAAGCCAGTATGGCTGAAGCAATGGGTGTGAAGGAGAGGCATCTCACCCAGCTCTGAAGTAGACGGGAAATGGGTGATTGCAAGAGCCATGATTTTCGACTTTATATCCAGAACACCAATAAGCTTTGAAGGACTGACCTAACATCAGCACTGACCTGATGAGTTTATTCATTCTTAATGGCTGCTCATTTCCCCCCATGGTTCTTTCTTCACCATCTCTAGCAGTCCCTCCAACACCATCATGGGGGTATTCTCCGCGGTGCTTTAAGACTTGTCATGTGGAATTCTCTTCACCAGCAGGCAGCAGGCAGAGTAGCCCACACCCAAATCTAGGTTCCAAAATGGAGCATCAGCCCCTGAAACCTAACCAGAAAAAAGAGAGGCAGGGAACATCCACACACATCCCCTCTGTCTCTCCTGGCCCATTCTGGAGTATATGACATACCCTCCAATTGGCCGCATCATGCAGCCCACATGAGCAGAACCATTTCAAGATCTATAAAAGGAGAGAAAAAGGAAAGGCATCAAAAGTATAAGCAGGCCTGCTTTCTCCAAAGTTTCTTTTTCTGCACTCCTCCCCAGCCACAAAAAAAGAACTTTCCTTTCTTGAGAAGACAGAAATATTGTTTAGGTTCTCAGAATTTAGAACTAACCAAAAGGGAGGGCTTCAGAAAAATTATTTATATTGCTAATCCAAGTGTATTTTTGTATGTGTCTGCGTGGGTAAACATTGTATGTACTTCATTTCATAAGATATAATAACGGAACAACTAAGTGGAATTAACATGATAAGTCAGGTTCAGTGCTAGACAGTGAGGCCATAAAGGTAAGATGGATTCTTCCACTAGGGACTTAGCAGTCTAGAGAGGAGGTGACATACATGCACAGTTCATGATAATGAGAGAAAGCAATCACCAGCATATGAAAGGAAAACATGTAGTATTTTAGGAGTTTGTGGCAAACTGCTATTAAAAGAAGACAACAGACACCTTGCTGAAGGGAAAAGATGACAGAGGAGCAGGGGACCCTATTCCAACCGGTCCCCGGAATTTAGCTGGTTATCTACCAGACCACTCTGAACACCCACGAAATCAGCCCGAGATGTAAGAAGATAGATCTGGATCTCTACAAACAGAATATTGCAGGAGGTTGGTTTCGAGGCATGAAGCAGGGAGCCGTGATTCTGCAGGCAGATATCAAAGGATAAACGGAAAGGGGAGGGAACCTGGCCGTGGGGATCCTACACCACCAGTGAGCGATAGCTTCCCGCACTGGGGATCGGGCACAGACTCGAAGACCAGTAGCGACAGGGAAAGGACTTTAGAGCAGCCCTCTGGACGGAAACCCGGAGCGATGGGGCTGCACCTGAGAACTGGGGGTGGCTGGCAGTTTTAGAGGCACAAAGGGCAGAGACATGCCCTGACCTGGAGGCAAGGACTGGGAGCGCTGCTGAGGGGCGCACAACCCAGGACACTGCAGTTTATAGCAGCACAGACAGAAACGGAGATAGTGTGACTTGGAGAGCTCACTGAAGAACAGATTGCGATCTCTCTGCTCTGAGGCAGAGGGTTGGAAACCATCTCTTCTGCTGACTCATGAAAGAGATGCAGAAACCCCCTAGGGAAAGCCACCAGAGAAAACCGCCAGAGAACAAAAGCCCAAAAAAACTGGTTTCCACTGAGCCCATCCCCCGCCACAGGGGGCAAGGCAACTCTGCCCAAACAGGGTTGCCTGAGAAACAGTGCTGCAGGCCCCTCTCCCAGAAGACAGGCTGGGAAAACAAGAGGCCAGCAACCCTAAAGTCCCTAGAAAACAGGTGCATCTTGCTTGGGTTGTGGTCAGTAATTTGGACTCTATACATTTCCTCAACCACCCCTCAACAGAATGACTAGGAGGAGGAATCCCCAAAATAGGAAATACTCAGAGACTATGACTTATGCCACAGATTTACAAATGGATTCAGATATAACCAAATTGTCGGAGATGGAATTCAGGGTAGCAATTGTGAAGACAATGGCCAGATGGAGAAATCGATTAATGGCAACATAGAGTCTCTAAGGGCAGAAATGAAAGCTGTATTGGCAGAACTTAAAAATGCTATCAATGAGATCCAATCCAATCTAGATAATCTAACAGCAAGGGTAAACTAGGCAGAAGAATGAATTAGTGATTTAGAAGACCAATTAATAGACAAGAAGGGAAAAGAGGAGGTCAGGCAAAAACAACTCAGAATCCATGAAAATAGAATCAGAGAAATAAGTGACACCATGAAACGTTCCAATGTCAGAATTATTGGGATACCTGAGGGGATGGAGAGAGAGAGGGGACTAGAAGATATATTTGAGCAAATCGTAGCTGAGAACTTCCCTAACCTGGGGAATGAAACAAACATTCGTGTCCTAGAGGCAGAGAGGACCCCTCCCAAGATCAAGGAAAACAGGCCAACACCCCGGCATGTAATAGTAAAACTTGCAAATCTTAGAACCAAGGAAACCATCTTAAGGGCAGTTAGGGGGAAGAGATTCCTTACGTATAGAGGGAGGAACATCAGAATAACATCAGACCTATCCACAGAGACCTGGCAAGCCAGAAAGGCCTGGCAAGACATATTCAGGGTACTAAATGAGAAGAACATGCAGCCAAGAATACTTTATCCGGCAAGGCTGTCATTTAGAATGGATGGAGAGATGCAGAGCTTCCACGA